TAAGAGTGGGCTGGCTGGCTTACTTGGCTCTGACTTGGGCACAGGGGTGGGCCGATACACACACGAAAACACTGCTTTGCTCAAGATGCTGTCCGAATGGTTGGATTGAGGGGAAGGATAGATTCCAATTGGTGCTCAACTGTATACACAATCATACCCATCAATCATACATCTGCTACATGGTCATTTTGTACTTTTGATTAGTTGGTGGACAGACTGCTAACACCTCACAGACAGACTAAATTAGGACTGAAGTATAATACCATAGCCAGTTCTATCTAGTGTTGTTGTAAGTGAACTAATCAGAGTGCATCTAGACTATGTAGACAATCTGTGTGAATGTTGTAGACATGCCACTTGATCGGTACAGTAGGGGACCTGCCGGACACAACTATTTTTAGAAAACTAGGTGTCGGTCAGACACATGCTGTGGTAGGACTCCACTAGGGGGTTCTAGTGCAGCCAATGTTTGCCTAATTCATGAATGGTCAGACGTCGATGAGGAGAGAGTTGACGATGTTAGACTAACACGTGCAAGGTCACATAGGATCCCGCACGTGTTTCAGGCCCTACAACCGGAAGACGAAAGACGTATTCGTGCAGAACGTAGAGCCCGCGCACTAGCAGCCTCTAGAGCAACAGCAAACGCCACAGCTAGGGAACAGGCTGCCGCAGCAGCTAGGGCAGCAGCCATGACTACCTCAGCAGCATCCTCTGCGGCTTTGTCTGAGACTTTGTTGGGAATGCCAACAAGTTCCACGGGCACTTCCAGTTCATCGGGTTCTAGACAGTCTTCTAGTCAAATGGTGGGCTCGCAGTTCAGCCCGTTGACTCTTCGTGAAAGGGAGCTCTGGGAGCTCCAACAGGTCGAAAGGACCCGTGAAAGATTAGAGAGGGAACTGAAACCAGCTACCGACAGAGACAAGGAAATCAAAAATAGAACAGCCAGGCTTGATACACTAGAGGCTGACAAGGCTGAGTTAGAGGGTTTGGACGACTCTGGAATGAATGAGCCCATGAAAGTGTTGAGGAACAACATGCTGTCACTGCATGCGCACATGGACAGCAGGTTGGACTTCATGCAGAACACTTTGGACCAGATCCTGGATGTTTTGACAAGGCCAGGATTTCGGCCACCAGCACAATCACCGTTGCCGTTAACGGCGATGTCAGGCCCCTTCCCAGTACAAGCTGGTACACAACTAAGTGGTACGTCTGCAGCAGTCGCACAGACTGTTGCATCTTCTTCTTCGGGTCCAGCGGTGGGAGCTACATCACCGCAACAACCTGTTCAGCAATCTGGACAGCCGCAGGGTCAATGGTATCCTAAGACCCCAATGAAACCGCCTCTTGCCTTCTCAGATGAGAGAAAGGACGAAGAGCTCAACACTTGGTTGAGGTCAGTTCCGGTTTGGGTGAAGGCCAAGAGGACCTTGCTAGAGGATGAAGTGGTAACTGCGGCATCTTACCTGGAGGGTAAGGCAGCCAAATGGTTAGATGGTGTAGTCATAAAGGCCGGGTATGGGAGACGCATGGCGGACTGGGCTAAGTCTCTAACGTTAGACCAGTTCATGGAAATGGTAGAAGCTCGATGGCATAACCCACAGGAGGCACAAAAGGCCACTGATGCCATAAACAAACTGGACCAACGAAAGTTCAAATCGGTTAGAGAGCTTACGACTACCGTTGAGAGTCTGTCCTCGTCCAAGACATTAACTACAGCGACCAGTTCCTATTGATAACATTTGTCAGATGTTTCCCAGAGAACATCAGGAACTTGTTGGCCAGTGAGGCACGAGTCGAGTATCACTCGTTTGAGACATTGTCTAGGAAAGCCTTAGATTTGGAGGCCATGCTAGGCAATGCTCAACCTACCTCTCAGAATGACTCGAAGAAGAAGAAGAGTCCCCAAGAGTGGAAGAAGAAGGGGGCGAAGTTGATGATGGTTGAGTCCGATGGGACTCAAACTGAGATCGACGAACTCTCTGCCCTAGTGGACTATTCAGAGTATGACGGTGAGGAGGTAGCTGAGGGTAGCACCCTCGCCGCAGTAGTAAAGGCTAAGGCCGGTGGCCGAGGGAAGGGCCAACCTAGGAGTCCAGGAAAGGCCGCCTCCAATCAGACCAAGCAGGCTGAATGGGTGAAGGCAGGTCTTGACCAAGACGTGTGGCGTGACCGCCGAGTGCGTGGCGCTTGTATCAATTGCGGGGAAGACGGACACTCGCAATACAAGTGCCAGAACGCTAAGGTCACGCAAAAATTGCTCCCAAAATGGGGGCATCTTATTCCCAGACTTCAAGCTCGGGAAACGCGTGAGGCCAGTAACAGTATTAGCTGCTTCTACTCAAGATGAAGTGGGATTGATACCCTCCCCACTTCATGACAAGGCCAAAGCTAATGACTCCTTAGTCACCCCGCAGACGCATCTAGACCAAACTATGCTCTGTACGTTAGATGTGTCTGAAGCCTTAGAAGACTTAGAAGGTGAGTGGTCAAACAAGGACCCTCACGAGTCTTGGGTGGCGCTGAAGAAAGGTCCTAGAGGGGAAAATTTCGTGGTGGAAGTGGATGTAGGAGGCCGCAAATGTGGTGCCTTCATAGACATCGGATCCACGCGAAATTACATAAGTCGCGATTGTTTGGAAAGGCTGCACCTACAGGACCGGGTACGGCACCTTAGTAGACCAGTAGCATCTACTTTGGCCAACAAAGAGCGCATGATTGCAACAGACTACATCAAGGACGTAGTCTGTACCTTCTCCTTTGGAGGAGGTGAGCTTAACCATAAGATCTCGTTCTTGGTTAGCGACGACTTACCATTTTACATGTTATTAGGCATGTACTACCTCGAAGTTGCTAAGCCCCAGTTCGACTGGGATAAAAAGGTGCTCAAGCATAAGTTGCCCGATGGCCGAACTGTCAGATTGACTAAGTTCAAGGCCAGTAGTATTATAGATACCTATGGCTGCTTGTGAGCATCAGCGTTCTACAATTACTACAAGCAAAACCAAGAGGAAGGTATGTACCTTGTTTATGTCTCTGAGAAGGGAGAGGCTGTTAAAACACCCCCAGAGATAGAACACTTCGTTGCTTAGTTCCCTGATCTGTTCAAGGAGCCCACAGGAGTTGTTGAAAGGGAAGTCGTCCACGCTATAGAAATCATTCCAGGGAGTAAGACCCCAAAGGGAATGATCTATAGGATGGCCCCCGCCGAGTTAGATGAACTTCGGCGACAGCTTAAGGAGCTGACAGAGAAGGGTTGGATTCGGGTTAGTACTTCCCCTTACGGATCACCCGTGCTATTCGTACCAAAGAAGAGGGGTACTTTGAGGATGTGCATTGATTATAGGGGCCTCAATGCCATCACTGTGAAAAACGCAGAGCCTCTACCTCGCATAGACGACCTATTGGATAGGGTGCAGGGATGCAAGTACTATAGCAAGATAGACTTGAAATCCGGATATCACCAGATGGCAATAAGACCTGAGGACCAACACAAGACAACTTTTCAGACTCGTTATGATCTGTATGAGTTCGTAGTGATGCCTTTCGGTCTTTGTAATGCGCCGGGTACATTCCAGCGCGCTATGAATCGGATCTTCCATGACCATTTAGATAAATTTGTCGTGGTCTATCTAGACGACATTCTGATCTTTAGTAAGTCTGCCGAGGAGCACGCACAACACGTTGAGACTGTACTCTCACTCCTGCGACAACACAAGTATAAGGTCGACTTAGAGAAGTGTGAGTTTGGTCGCACAAAGATACTATACTTGAGTCATGAAGTATCCGCGGAGGGAATTAGGCCGAAAGATGCGAAGGTGGCTAGTATTCGAGACTGGCCACGACCTCAGACAGTCACTGAGGTCAGATCATTCTTAGGAATGTGCGGCTACTATAGAAACTTCGTAAAGAACTATTTTACAATCGCCTCTCCTTTGACTGATCTAACTCGACTTGACACACCGTGGGACTGGAGTGATGAGTGCGAGGGTGCACTCATGAATCATGAGGTTCTCATGGTCCCCGATCCTCAGAAGCCATTCATAGTGACCACTGACGCAAGCCAATACGGCATTGGAGCAATGTTGGCTCAACAGGATGGGAAAAAGTTGAGACTGATTGAGTACATGAGCAAGAAGATGCCATCAAAGAAGTTGGCAAAGTCCACCTATGAAAGGGAACTCTATGCTCTATACAAAGCACTTGTCCATTGGAGACACTTCCTATTAGGAAGATTCTTCTACTTGAGGACTGATCATCAGACCCTCAAATGGATCAAGACTCAACCGACTCTTTCTGATGCACTCAAGCGATGGATTGAGGTCATAGACCAGTATGACTTCAAGCTTGAGTATCTGAAGGGAGAGTACAACAAGGTTGCAGATGCACTATCCCGTAGAGCGGATTACCTAGGTGCGCTAGTTTCTAACTTTGGCATATCTGACGAAGTAACTCAATCGTTGGTGGGAGTCTATCAGGAAGACCCAGTCACGATGGACATCATTCACAAACTTCACGCAAAAGACAAGGCCACAGAAAGTGAGTTCGTGATGGTGGACGGGCTTCTCTATCTTGATAAGGCCGGAATAAAGAGACTAGTAGTTCCATCTAGTGAACCTTTGCGTAGTTTGTTTTTAGGAGAATGCCATGACGCAACGGGACACTTTGGCTACAAGAAAACGAGTGTTAATCTAGTACAACGATTTTGGTGGCCTGGGATGTTCGATGACGCAAAGAAGTACGTAGAAACCTGTCAGATCTGTCAGCGCGACAAGCCGCGAAGTCAAGCACCGCTTGGGTTGCTTAAGCCCTTACCTATTCCCCCTGGTCCAGGACAGAGTGTTTCCATGGATTTCATGGACACCTTGGTAACTAGCAAGAGTGGTAAGAGGCACATCTTCATCATCATAAACCGATTCACCAAGTACGCTAGACTAGTTGCCATGCCAGAGAGCGCGAGGTCTGACCATGTCATCAAGTTGTTTAAGGACAACTGGGTACGGGACTTTGGTTTACCAAAGACTATCGTTAGTGATAGAGACGTCCGATTCACAAGTGAGCTATGGAAGAAGACTGCGGAACAAATGGGTAGTCAACTTCAGATGACTTCAGGGAATCATCCCGAAGCCAGCGGACAAGCCGAACAGATGAATAGAGTTGTACAGCACTTGCTGAGGCATTACATCAAGCCCAACCAAGATGATTGGGATGAGAAGTTGCCACTCATCGCCAGTCTGTACAACAATGCTGTGCACAGCAGCACCGGCGTGAGTCCTAACCAGCTACACTTGGGATGGAAGCCTAGATCCG